GTAGAGGGAAGGTGTTTTGCTTTTATTTCTCATTACCCTACTCTGATTTGATTTGTAATAAATAAATGAATTTTCCCAAGTCAAGCCTGTTTGCCCGTGACTGTAATTGTTGAGCAATCTCTCTCTACTCTCATCTCAACCCATGAGCCTTTTGCTATATTTTCTTTCCCCTGTCCAGCTGAGGAAGGGAGTGATAGAGTGGTTCTGGTGGGCACCTGGCATCCAGCAGGAGCTGCTAAAATGTAGCTCAACAGAAGTAATGCTGGGCACTTTGTCCATAAAAGTAACAGAATCAGAGATTCATTTAGTTTAGAAAAGACCCTTAAGATAATTGAGTTCAACCAAAGCCAAAACACTGACGTTGCTATAGAAGAATGGCATGGAAAATACATGTTTTCAGACATAATACAGGAAACAAGGCGTACCAGCTCTACAGCTGCCTAAAAAACTTCAGTTACTCCTTGTTTGTTTGCAGAATTCTTTAATGACATAATCTCCTCTTCTTTAGTTTTTGTTTAAATGAGTCTACCAGATGGGCATACAACAATTCTGATTCTACTGACACTCATCTGGCAATTTCATTTAACTTAAGCAGCTTTTCATTTTTTTCTGGCAGGTTTTTTTTTTTTTTTTAATCTCTACCTAGAAGCTGGATTGGGTAAATACTCCACATCTCTTTAAGAACACATGCCTGAACCATTTTGTTATTAAAAAACCAGAAATCTTTCTTTTGGTTTAAGTGGGAAGGTTACTAAAACATATAAATGTTAATCATTAATAAATACATAAAAGAAACTGTTTCCAGGCGAGTAAACCAGAACAAAAGGCAAAATTCAGCAAATAAATTATTGGCTACTTGTGATTTTCCCATAACAAGTATATATTCTATGCTGTCTTCTTTTTTTTAAAAAACGAGCATTTATTTTACATGATGCAGCAATTTGTGCTTCTACCAATTTGTGCTCACACTGAAATAGGGCAACCTGCAAGGAAAAGGAGTGGTTACCAGGTGCATGTAGTTTTACATTGCTGGAAGGTATTTCCTGGGTCTCTTTCAGCCTCTTTTCTCTGTGTTAGTGGCCTTCAACAGAATTGTACACTTCAACTCAAAAGAATTACACAATTAACATGCTTAAAACTTCTTCTGTTCATTTCGGAGTAAAATAGACACTAAGGCTTATGCATTTAAATATTTCTTTCATTTTGTGCAGGTTTAGTGTTAAACAGATGCAAAATATTTACAAGACAAGGGTCTTAGATCATTTAAACAAAATTATGTGGAACGGTGGTTGCCATTAGAGTAAGTGGTCAGAAACTTTCTTGGCAGTGTTTAATGTGGCATTCCTCCTTCCTTGTGCATAAATAAAGCAAATGTCACTGGAATTTAGTAAAAGGCTGCTGTGTTTTCACTTGGATCTGAAGCTGTGATTACAGATTATGTAGAAGACATTCCACAGCAGATGTGGCTTTAGCTGTTAGGTGTTGACTCATGCCTGTATTTTAGCCCATGCTGCCATACCTGGGCTGATGCTGGGGCTGGATCCTGCTTGCTTGTATCCAAGTGAGCTGCAGGCAGTACTGTAGAGAATTGCAGAGGAGAGAAACTCTGTGCAGAGCCCTTGAAATTGCTCATAAGTATCTGGACAATTTGGCTCACTAAAATTCTTCCTTTATATGTCTCTGTCTGCCTGAGTCTTCCATTTGTAAACCTTCCCCTACAAACTCTTGGGGGTATCATTTCTATTTCACAGCCTGCTGCTGTTCCCTTTGCATCAATGACAAACATTGTAGAATTCAAGAGTCAGTAAGTTGTTTGCGAAATGCAAAAAGCTGTTCCATTAGCTGGTATAAATAAAAGAGCTCCACAGAGAATGAAAGGAGGTGAGACAAGAAGCTCTGCTAGACTGTGCCAGCTGAAGACCTGTTTCAATGAGTTTTCTAGAAATCCTTAAAACAAACTGCTGGTGTATTGCATCTTCTCTGCTCAGGATTTTCCAGTATATAGTGATTATTTGGTCTGGCCTCATATGGCTTCAAGAGAAGCATTTGCATAAATAAGAGAGAAAGAATCAGCAATCCCAAATATCCCTTGTTTTGGTTTAAGCTATAATTTAATCTTAAATGTTACACTAATATCACCTGGGCTAATTACAGAAAATTCTTTTCCTGCAAAGAAACAAATTTCACATTGCCATAGGAACAAGTCCATACTCATTGCAGTATGGCATCTTGGTTGTTTCCTGAGCAATCCATATTCTCAATGGAATACTGTCTTTTAATGAAAAACCTTCAAGACTGCACAGCCCATACAGGTGAGCATGGTGTATAATTTCATCCAGACAGATGGCTGCACCTCTGCATGTTCAACCCTCTGTCTCTCCTGGATGCACTTGCATAGAACAAACAATGAAGAAACAACTGAGGAAAATAAAACCCCTTCCAGATTTATGTACTCTGCAAAGATTCACTCTTTCCAATACATCTATATACCATTTTGCCTCCAGTTAGTAAGCACCCTTTTTTTTTGTTTGTTTGTTTTTTCCCTTTTCAGAGCTGTGATTTTAAAAGCAGCAATTGGGCTTGAGCCTGTTGAGTAATGTCAGCTTCCATGGGGGATTCCTCTGCCACCTATGACCAGCTGGGGGGGTGAGGGGGGGCTGTGTGGATGCTGGAGGGGGCATCATGCTGAGGCTGTTCCTCCTGCCTTGCCAGGTACCATTTTCTCTTAGGGCAAGCTCAGACATCCTTGTCAGGGAGTACTGGCACAGTCACATTGTTCCACTAACTACATCCACTGCAATTCCCAAATGCCCACCATGTACAATGATACCTTCCTCACACAGAACAGCTCTTGCTGCAGATAACAGGCAGGATTTGGATTTCTGTGGTGCTGAGATCCCTGACTCTAATAGAGACTCTTCACCCAGGTTTACCTGCTAAAACTTTTGACCCAAATATCCAGATCTCTCAATGTGTTTTTTTTCTCTTGCTGTCATGCTTTGCTAATGAAGTGTACTTTCTCTCAGAAACAGCTGGTGTCTCATGTGAGAATTGTATGTCTTTAACCATTCAATGTTCAAGTCAGTCCTTGATTCATAATCCAGAAAAGGCCTTTCAAAGCTGCTCTTTGGCATTCCATTCCTCACTGTATGACTGATGCTACTTCACTGCGAACCACATCCTCGAGAATGCCACTGAGGAAGGGGAGAGCCAAAGCTGAAAGGGGATAATGATGCTGTGATGCTCAAGCAGGAGGGGCACTGTTCAGAGCAATGAGGGATACAGTGACCAGTGATGTCTGGTATGCTGCAAAGCCAGGAGGCTGCAACAGACAGCAATCTACTAAAAATGTGGTATTGCAGATGTGCTTTAACTCGAGCTTCCAGAAACCCTGTCATCTGGAGACTCCTTCTGTTTGGTATGCTGCTTTGTTTTTAAAAGCCTCTCCCAGGCTGTAGCAGTCAAGTTCTAGGAGGAGATGTTCCAGGAGTGGTGAAAGACAGTCTTCTGGAGATGCCCACAACTCCCTTTGCTTGTCCCAGGGTTCCTGCTTCAGTTCTGGACTACAGTCCCTACCTTGTGCATGGCTGCTCCAGTCTCAGCTTGCTCCCAGGCTTTCTTACTTACAAAGTGCAGTGTTCACCTTGCAATGGAACAAAGCCCAGGTGTAGTTCTGCAGGAGGCTGCCCCATACCCAGTATGGGTGAGCAGCTGCCAGGTTTGGCTTCCTATGTCCTGAACACACATTCAGCTCATCAGTTAACCCTGTTAACCTCATTTTGGATTCTGCAAACCATGAAAATGCACATATGGTAACACATGAAGGATACCACGTAATCACTGATACCAGTGAACACATGGCCAGTCTGATCCTGTGGGTTGTGGGACCCTGAGCAGCTTGGCCAGGAGGACCAGAGTGGTGAGTAGGACCAGAGACCCAGAAGCAGGTACACCCAGCAGCAGAGATGTAGCCTGAGACTTTGGAGCCACTCTGTGCCAGTCCTCCATGTGCTCAGCCATGGAGATGCATGGCAGCATGCCAAAAGCAGGTGTGGAGCCAAGATTCCTGTGCAAAGCCTGCCCCTGTTATTTGCCTTCCTTTGATTTGTGCTTTTGTTTGTTTTGTGTGTTTCTCTGTTTTTCACAAAAAATATGGTGTTTATTTTTCCCAGTATCTTTCCTCTCCCTTCACAGTAAGCAAGAACTTTTATGCCCCATTTAGTTTAGTTTTGTTTTTCTTTTTGCTTAGTTTCCACAGCAGAGGATCAATTATTAATTGTTAGAGAAATATCCTTCAGCAATGCAGCAAAAGGTAGATGGGGGATATGGGTTGGAGGGTTGTGGGAAGAGCCAGCCAAGTCGGACTGCGAAGTGCCTTGTATATCTAACAGTGCATCTCTCCAGTGCAAGGCTACTGAAGGAAAAATCCCGGCCAGATACGGGGTGGAAGTTCAGAAAGAGCAAAAGATGACGTGGAGAAGGAAAGACAAGCCGGTATAGAAAGTTCTGTATAGTGAACCCTGTGCCCACGCAGGACTGAATACCCACCCCAGCTGGGAGGACACAGTGCCACAAGGGGAGAGGACAGAAGGCAACACGAGGGTGCGTGTAACACGAATGGGGCAGCTGAAATTCCCCTAGGTACCGAGAGGCAGGCTCAGAGCCCGTACGCTCCTTGGGGAGATGTTTCCCGGAGGAGCCAGGTGCGCGCCCGCCAAGGCCGGGGATGCTGCGGGCAGCGGCCGCCGGGGCGGGCGGGCCGGGGCGCCGGGCGGGCCGGGGCCGCGGGGGCGGAGGGCCCGTTCCCGCCTCCGCGGGGCCGCCCCGCTGCAGTGTCCCGGCAGCCCGGGAGGAGGAGACGGCGGGGCGCGCAGGCAGCAGCGGGGCAGCCCCGCCGAGACGATCGCCGGGCGGGCGGCAGCTCCGCGCCCCGCCGCTCCCGCCGCCCGCGCCCCGCGCCCCCGGCCCCATGGCGGGGCCCGCCGCCCCCTGGGCCGCCCTGCTGCTGCTGGCCGCCCTGCTGGCCGCCGCCCTGCCAGGTACGCGGGAGCTGCCCCGCGCGGGGGTGAGCGGCTGCCGTGCCACGCGTGTCGCTGCCCGGCTGCCTGGGGCCCGCGGGGCGGGGGGCTCAGGGGCCACTCGGTGCTTGGGGATGCCCAGCGGCGCCGCTCTCTGCCCCCGCCCGGCCCGGGGACAGGCGCCGCGGCGGCATCGCAGGGACACCCCGGCCGAGCCGGCGCTTCCCTGCCCCGGAGCAGGCACCTGCCGCCGCCCCCGATGTGTGGAGACCCCTCGGCCGGTGCCCACCGCGGGACGGAGGGAGACCCGAGCGGGGAGGGGAGCTGCAAAGCCGGGCAAGCTTCGGCACCGAGGGTCACCCGGCTCTCGGAGAGCGGCCGGGACCCTCCGTGGGTTTGCTCTGCTGCACTCTGCCGCTCCGCAGCGCGGGGCTGCAGCCTGCAAGGACGCTCCTGGCCAGACGCTAGCGGAGAGCGCCGCAGGGTGACAGCCTCCCGCTTGCCTTCAGCCCGTGGATGCCTTTTCCCCCCTGGAACCGCGCGCTGGTTCCGTCGTCCCGTCTCGTCTCTGCTGAGGAGCCCCGCTCGCGGGGTTAGCGGCACTGACAGCGGGCAACCCAGCAGCTCCACGGGAAGCCAGGAGAGATCCCTCTTTTCTTCGTTCCCGCCCCCGGAGTCCTGTGGATCGAACTCTGTATCAGGCCGGGCGAGGCTGGCGCTGCTGTCAGAGTTCCCCGGGCCCTCCGGATCAAGTTTAAGCTGCTCTGGAGGTGGCGTTGTGGGAGGCAGTGGCAGATCTGCCCTGTCCTTTTCCTTGTGGAAGCAGTGTGCGGTCACAGCAGCCCCCGCGGCACTTTTTGCACCGCAGACAATGCCGAACCGAATCTCCTCAGCTTGTGGCCGCAAGGTCTGCAGCAGATTGCGGCTAAAGACAGGGTATAGATACACATGCGGAGGCATTTCAGCGCCAGATTGTATCTGCTGGGGTTACAGTAGCCAGAGCGGCACAGGGACACTTGCCCGCATGGTGGCTGTCCCATCTCCAGCCCCGTGCTGTAGTCGCAGAGGAGCCAGCCGAGGACGATAGCATCCTCCCCAGCAGCTCTAGGCTGTGCGGCAGAGCTCGGGACTTCATGTCACCCGTGGCTCCTGGTGAACTTTAGTGTGCAGCTAAGTAATCCTTCAAGGAATGATCTGCCTAACCTGGAACTGTAGTCTCTCTAAAACTTGCTGTTCGCATCCAGGTTAAGCTTGGGATCACACTTCTGGAAGCGGTTTTATCATAGTGCTCCCTTGTGGCAGTGGTAAATGAACGGGGAACTGGATCTCTGCGGCTACCTGCTGGCAAGTGAGAGGAGGGAAGGGAGCAGGGGAGTTTGTGTTCTGCTAGTGAGGGAAATGTGAGAATTGTCATAGCCTCTGAGGAAAAGTATTAGCTGTTGAGTGCATGCACGCTCTTGCTTCCCCGACTGTGTAATGTCTAAAGTGAGTCTTGGAGATTCTGATACTTCACTAAAAATTTTGCATGTAATATCCATGTATATATTTCCTTGTTTGCAGTCCCACACCAATGTGCTGTAAAAATTAGGCCAGTTTCTGAACAAACCCAAATGTGTTGGCACAGTGTTGCACAGAGCTCTCTGCGTGCTTCCCAGCTATGGAACTCTGGAGCACACCAAAACCTGCTGGAGTGCAAATAATGCACTGTTAACCCCGGAGTGGCTGGACAGAACTGGATGTGGGCTGCATGTGTGCTCCCTGTCCTTGTTAGTGTGCTGGCCACATTGAGTGGACACCACTTTCCTTCTCTAGTCTAGAGAGTAGTTTATAAGCTACTAAACACAGGCTGTGTCCTGAGCAAGTGCAGTCTCAGCAGGAGTTCTTTCTCAGGGCATAAAAGCCATTACTGAGCAATTTTGCTGCCCTTGGTCCTGCTTTCTCACACTCCAGCTGTGTTAGAAATGGTCCTGCTGACCACCTTTACTGCATGTGCTCTGTCTAGGGAACCTGTCCCAAACTCACTCTGCACTTTGGAGCCTTTGTCCAAGTACCGTGTCTGTGAGACAGGGAGGCTGTCTTGGCTCAGCAGACAGGCTCCAATGAAGTGAAAGAGTCCTTCAATTTTTGTCTGCGGAAAGAAAGGAAAGATTTTTTCCTCAGTAAGGGTCTGGCATTGGGCTTGTGCTGTCATTGACTGTGTTCTCTTTATCAAAATAGAAAGTCAGTGTGGGGCCTGTGCCCAGGATTGTTGTGGCTGTCCTTGGGCCAAGAAAGTGTAAGAGTAGGGTTGTTGTGCTGGAGCCAACTTAGGGGGCAGATCCCATTCGTGTATAGCCAGGAGAGATTTGTTGCTTGCTGCCAGATCCCATGCATGGAAGAATGGATACTGACTACAGAAAACAGTCACCTACTCACCTTATTGTCTTAGACAAACAGTATTCAAGCTCCACCTGCAGCCAGTGGGAGAAATTTGGGGGAAACTTTAAGAAGAGGCTATGCTCAGAGGAAGAGCTTTTCTGACAGCAGCACTAACTCTCATTTTCCTTCCTTGTCTAGACTGTCTGACATAAACAGAGAAAGCAGAAGGGTCTCCAAGGGAATTTTCCACTTCATTTAGCTCTAAGGAATGTATCTTCTCAGTTATTTAGGACAGTGCTGTAATGGTCTTAACTGTATAGCTCTGTACCAGCCTCTGGGTGTGTCAGATATATGAAAGCTCCTGTGCCGTCCAAGTCTGTGATTCCAGCTCTTCAGACAGCACGTGGACTGATTTTGGCTGGACGTGTGGTTTAGAAGGTGCTTTCAGAAGCTGATCTACACAGAAAGAAATTAGAGGCGGGGCTGAGTAGATGTTGCAGCGAGACAAAGACATGCCAGCAGGGGGAATAGGATCTTGTGTCTATGATCTACAATATTGAGTGAGCATTCAGTTGCCCAAAAATGTAGCTCAGACACATTCAGTCATCGTATTTCCTCTGTAGGACACTGAAATGTGACTTCTAAGTTCTCAAGATAGCTTAGATTGGACTTTATATCCGCTTCACATTGTATGCAGCTGTCTGCAATTGGGCTGTTGTCTTCACATGAAGGAAGCATAGCAGTATTTTCACCAGGCTCAGTTTCTGGTGCATGTCTAGGACCCATGGTTTCTCTAGCTGGGAGTTATGTAATGTAATGCATCTTTGTCTGTCACTGAGGAGGTGCTCAGGAATGTGGCTAAGTTGGCATTGGGATGTGCTGGCACCAGGCATTAGGTCTCTTAAATTTATGCTGTTGCAGCTGAAGTATAATCAGGACTGGAATCCAGTCCTAACCAAAGACCTCTAGAGTGAACCTGTGTTTAGTAGCCTGGGTATGATCCCAAATATGAAAGAAAATGCAGCCAAATCAACATTTTCTTCCCCCCTTTAGTTTTGAAGTGTCAGGATCTGCTTATCTTGTTTAACTTGAGTTACCTGTCTTCATAAATTAGTATTCCTTTATTCCCCCCTTTGCCTGCCCAAGTGAACCATAGCTACATGCATGCATGTATCATGGGAACATTTACCTTTTGTTGTGCTGTCTGCTGGGAAAGAGGAGGGAGCATGGATGATAGGCACGTCTCCCACAGACTGCTAATGCGCTGTGGCGGTCACTTCTCCAGAGGAAATGGTGTGGATATTGATGTGCCTTCCTGTTGGGATGCTCCATGCTGCTATTTCCTCCCACAAGCTGCAGATGTACCACACTTTTGTGCAGCCTTGAGAGGGTTCTGCCAGCCTTGCAGACTCTGTACTGATCCTTCAGGCAGGTGCCAGCACTCCCTGGTGTCTTTTCTACCCCTGAAATTGCCACGTGTCATTTCTCTTTTACAGCTCCCTAAAGCAGCAACACTTTCACTGGTATACTGCGCTGCAGGATTGTTTTTATTCCTTTGAATGCACATGAAATTTAATTCACTTGGAACTGTGAGTGTTTTCATTATTCCCCAAGGTGAAAAAGATGGCTTCACCTCTGCAGCCAGTGCCCCTGCCCACCCCTCAGAGGGAGAGAGGGAGGGATGAACTGCTGGGTTGTGAGGCAGTGAAATCTAGAGGAGAGCAGCAGAAACTGAAGCTGGGGAGATCCTTTCCCTCTGTCTCATGAGAAGCCCAAACATTTTGCTTCCACATGTGTTGAGAACTTCCATTTTAGCTATGTTTGCACTAGTATCGTAAACCCCTGAGGGGTGTTATAGCTTGCATTTTTAGATCAATAGAGAAGTGATGGTTGCCTTGAAGAAATGTGAGGTTGTCTGAAAGATCCTTTGCTGTGCAGGACCCAATAGAAAGCCTTTGAAATAATGTTTGCATTTTCTTATATGTGCTTGCTATGCTGCTGCTTATTCTGCTGCATTGTTGGCTGCAAAACCTACAGTCTGTGTTGAATTTCACAAACTGAAGTGCCAAAATAAGCACCGCCAAGATCAAGACAGTGGCTTAAATTGCACAAGATTTAAAGAAAACCAAGAACTGCTGAGATCTTCTGCTTTGCTATCTGTTCTCTGAGTCTCGGGACACACGTTTCTTAACTTTCCTCCACACCCTGGATGCCTAGGGATTTAGAGGGGTGGTGTGCTTTAGTCCTGCATCTACACTGCTTGCCACTTACCAAAGGGGCATTTATCCAGGCAAAATCCAGCAGGATTTTGCACTGCCCTTGTACCTGGCTAGATTGACTATGGACACTCTGATCCCAGCTCTCACATTTATTCTCACTTGAGCTTTTGCCTGCAGCACCTCTATAGTTGGGTTCATTTCCTTTGGGGGATGTACAAGCACCTGGAAAGTGTCTGCTTTCCTTGGTTCCTCTTTAAACTTTAGACAAACCTGTAATGAAAAATAACTTTTCCACAGTGTACCACATGTTTGAGTGCTTAACTGCTGTACTGGCAGCAGAGTTAACAAGATCGACATCAAACAGTGTTTACACAGCGTCCCCTTCATTGCATGGTCTCGATTTGCCTGGGGAGATGAGAAATTGTGCTGACAGCTCATGTGCTT